CTGGTACACACGGCAGTTTTATGTTTTCTTAGGATAAGCTGAAAATGTTAACTAAATATACAAATTACATCATATTTCCGTGGGGAAAAAAGAATTCCAATTTAGAGCATCTGAAGACAAGGAAACAAGGCATAACATACAGGACACTGTTGGCACAGGAAAGTGTTACCACATCAAAACATGCCCTTTTCAATTTAATCCCGTAGATATATAAAGGAATGGTGGTGGCAGAGGCAAGGGGACAGCATGAATATCAAATACTCAGTTCTAAGCATGCTAGTGAGGTCTTTGTTTCAAAACCTGAAGCTACCAAAACCACTTCAGAGGCAAGAAAGCACCTATCCAGACAGTCCAACCCATTTCCAGGCATTCCTCTTGTGGGCTGCCATGCGCAGACTGAAGAATCTGTCCAGTATCATCTCTGTGCCTGAGGTCGCCTAAAGCTTCCCATTAGCAAATGCTGCCTCCTGGAACTGAGGGACGAACGTTTTGAAATATGCCCTAGTGAAAAAACCAGAAAACACATGGTTAGGAAGGAGTAAACTCAGAACATGGTGAATGCATGTACACAACCAGGGTTTTAACAGAGAAGCATAATATTACCACGAGCAGTTAGTCCACCATCAGAACTCACAAGCGGGTAGTGTTTGTCTTACAGGTTTGCAGTGTGCAGCAGACCCATAGACTTCAGTTTTCTACTCCCAGCAGTACTTCTTTCTTCAGTGTCCTCACCACGAACCTCTAAATGTGGCCAACATCAGTAACTTGATGCTGTCAGGAAGAGCCTGATAGACCCTCCATATTTTATACCATCCAAAGTTCCAGAGATATAGTGTACTATGCACTGGAAAATAAACCTTTGAATGGCTGCAAAAGTGCTAAATACTTAGATAAGCCACAAGTGTGATTATGCCACTGCTTGTGGCATTTTTTAACTGGGCCTTATGGATACAGTTGATGTTTGTCATGTCACTGGGATAAACAGGTTTTTGGGTTTTTTTCCCCTATGTGAAGAATACATCACATATGGTGCCAAAGGCCCAAAGACAGACAAGCCAATGGAGGCAGAAAATTGTGTAGTCAGAATATGTGCAGGAGATAAGCTCTTTACCTGTTTCCTTACAGAAATCTTGACGCAATACCATCACTGTTGATGCCAGTAGTTTACATAAGATGTAGTGAATAAATACTAACAACTTTGGATGAACTGTAATTCCTTTTATTAAACCTCAAAATTTAGAAACTAATGTTTTGACTTAAGATGTGCTTTGTATGTTTTGGATCTTAGTCTATCTTCTTTACAAAGAATCGAGTGACTCATAAATCTGTAAAATGAGCTGATCCTAAGTATCCAAAATTGAGTCTGAACTGTACCTTTGAGTTTCTTGCACAGAAATACTCAACCGTGTAATAAACGTATTTTACGTGTCCCCAACGATACCCTTTATTTGCCACTTATATTAGAAGCTGCTTCACTGTTCTGCCTTTGGTTTCTGCCTACTGCTTTCTGCACCAAACTTTCACTTTCTCTTCTTTTATTTTGCTGCTTTTTTTTAACATTTTGTTTTCTATTCATATTACTGGCCTTTATAAATTTCTATGCAAGGCGAAGCTTCTTCTGTTCTCTCTACCAAAATGAAATCTAAAGTCAGAATAACTGCAAGGACATTCATTACATTCCTGATCTCTCTGGTTTACCTCCTGAAGCAAACATACACTGATCATCTTCATGATCATGACATGTTTCATAACTGTGGTAGAAGCTTTGGCAATCACTGAACACCAATCATACCTCCTCACATCTAAAAATGTTGCAAGATCACAAAGAGAATGCTCCTCTCTCTTTGTGGGGTTGTGCCTGGCCAATTAATTAACGGATAGCTGCAGTCAGCTTTTGTGCAGAAGCTGTAAACACACATGAGATGCTGTCCAAAGGTTAAAAGAGCAATGGAAAGTAAAAGCATTTCTGGACTGAGGAGCTGAACCCAGAACTGGAAAACAGAAAGAGAACAACCAGCACACACATTTTATAGCATACACAGATTGTGCTGGGTATTTACAGAATACACTTCTGTTTACAGAATCAAAGTTCAGAAAACAACCCTCATAATCATGCCCACAGAAGTGGCAGTTCATGCTGGCACACGTGTACATAAACCAGTTGAGAAGGTATGACTGTCACCTGACAGACTGGAATGCCATTTCTATATTTGTGGTTTTTATTGCATACCTTTGAAATTGTAGTCTGTGTATGTCCTGGTCAGTTCTATGTATTTTGCTAGCTCAGGGTATATCACCTGCATGTTGTCAATGCCAGGATCTATCATCCTTTTACCTTTCCCTGCATTATCTGTCACTTAATTACACTTCTCTGCTTGCTTATTTTAAGTAGCTTCTCCCTTCCCCTTTGAAAGCTTCTCTGCAGACTCTCTTCCATGCACACAGTCTTCTTATTGACTCGATAAATGTTTCCTTAAAACTTCCCTTTTCCAAAACTGTAAAAATGTTAATCATTAAATGGGATATAAGCAGAATTATTTTCCAACATTTAATTTCTTTGCCTTTACAGCATTTCTGTGCTTTGTCTTAAAACCACACTTACTGCACTATATGCAGTAATTATATATGACTTTCCTGTTAGGTAAATTCCAGAACGAATGCTTTTGATACCACAAACACCCTCCCACACCATCTTTATCTACACTTGCATCCTTTCTTTTCACTGATTCCTGTGGTAGAGCTTGTATCCTTTGCAGCAAAACTAAATCTAACACCTCCCTACGTTCTGATGAGATGTACTATTTCAAAGAGGATGTTATTTCACCAGTAGTTCATATGAACCTCCTGGCAATGTTCCATACACTACAAAAATCCCTTTAGTACTTCATAACTTTTAAATGTCTACTTTTTTTCTTTCCATACCTGAAAGTACATGCTTAAGTTTGCACTTATCATTTGTGGTGTTGTCCAGACTGAAGCAAATGCAGTACCACATGTTTACCTAGAATATGTTCCTTCATTTCTGCCCCTCACTAGGTATCTCTGAGACAATTATGGTTCACCCCAAAACCAAACCAAACCCTGCAAAGAGATCCAAAAGCACAATATACTGGATAGAACTCTATCAGCTACAGCACATCTAATAGACTGAAGAGGAAAGATGGGGAAGTAGAAGTGAGGTTCAACTGCTTAAAGAACAGTGCAATAGGGAGGAAATGGCAAGTTAGTGTATAAAAGTAACATGACTTATTTTGAGTGTGTGTGAAGGAGTAGAGCAGGCAGAAAAGGCATTACTCATTAACAGAGGTTACTGGAACTTTTTTTTTTTAAATTACATGGCTTTTTCAATTGAAAATTACATTTTTACCCAGTTGTATGCATTTCTGTGGAAATGCTACTGCATCAGGAAAGGAAGGAAAAGAATGAGGTACTTGAGTTTGATTTGATCCAAAAAGAGATGTTCTGGTTTGTAGAACTGAGCCTAAACAATTGCCTTGATATTAACCTTCTTATCTGTGGCCCAGCATCTCAGAGATGATGTATCTTGGCCCACAGACAAGACCCTGGTGCATCACAGGAGTCCTAAGTAGAAACACAACAGCAGAAGTTGTCCCTTCAAAGGACCCTGTCCATGAAGAATGGTGGGATAAATCATTACAATTTCTTCTTTCAGGAGGCACTGTGATACTGCTTGGCAGATGCATTGTAGTGTCACATTAACTGCATGTTTTTCGCATGTTCCAAGCAAAATCTTTTCAAAATTTTTCTTTTCATCTAAAGTCTGGGACAAAACCCTACATTAAAATACCTGAATGTCCTGTGAAATGGAAATTCCAGCATTTTTTTCTGCTCTGCAGAGATTACCAATAAGAAGGAAAAGAGCAATCATCAATCACTGTCTAAGTTTTGTCTATCAGCCAACTGGCATTGAAGTCAAAGCACTCGTGTTTCTACACAAACATGACCATGACATGGACTATAATGTCACAACAGGTTACATGAAATAAGTTTCAAAGAAATACACATTTTTTGAAGGACAGTACTCTGTCATGGACTGGATGGTAAGAGCCTCTTTCACATGGTATGCTATTCCTGTTAGACTTTAACAGCAAACAGTCATAGTCCAGCATCTTATACAAAGAGGCACAGACAAATAGTGAATGTAAACATCAACTTGGGAAAAAGATTCATTTCTCATACCCTATTCACATAAACATATTCACATGAATTTACACTCTCAATAACTTTGATCTGTACTACCCCGCAGGAATTCATGTCAAAATAGATGAATTTTTTTTTCCAGACACTCTGCCACATGATACTTTCAAGCACCTCCAAACTGTTTTGAAATCATTATTTTTGCATCTACTGATACACTTTTCAGCTCTTGAAAACTGCTATTAAAAAATATGAATCAGTAATTTGGGTACTTGCTGAATTATATTTAAGATGAAGAAAGGTAACTTGATCTATGGTCTCCTTTAGTTGTGTCAAATGGCAGGAATCAGTTTCTTATCAATACTTTTTCTCCCTTCTGGGAAACATGGAGTTCCTTCTTCTGCTTTACTCTACCGTAGTTTCGGTGGGTCTGTATCACACTGACCTTACACCAAGCTCAGAAGAACTGCATAAAATGCTCCTTCAAGTACAGAGAAACTGGTTTGTACAATGTCCACAAATACTCTTTACATGAGCATTGAGTACAATCAACACTCACGTGAAGTGACACATATCGAGTGTTTCATCCTTCTTGCAATGGTTTAGATCTCAGCTTAAACGGTGTTTAAAGAGTTGCTTTCTTTTCAGTCTAGAGTGGGTGCCAATCTTCATGCACTTACAGGCACGTGTCTAACTCTTTGTTGAGCATCTTACTGTAAGACTCCATTGTTTTTTGTCTATTTGTTTTTGTTCCCTCAAATGGTCATTTTCCAAGTTCAAGGTTGCAAGTTATGAGGTTTCTATGGAAATTTTTTTCACCACTCCAGAAAACAACACATTTTGCTGTAGTTAACCACTATATATACTTGACACAATACATTGAATTTCAAATGCTACGCTCAAGGACATCTGCTGAGAGTAAAGCACTTCTCTTTCCTTCACCTCATTATCCAATGGAAAGAAAGTCTTGCTATTATTGCAAGTGGCAAGTATCTCAAAGAAGGTAAAATTGGCTCACTCGCTGTTTACGTATTTTCTAGTGATATGAAACACTGACTGTGGTACAAGGTCTCCAGAAGCCTGTACATATCTAAATCACAGAGTGTGGGTTTGCAGTGCTTAAAACATACTTGACTCAGAATTCACATGCTTTTGTGAAATTTCATTCTAATTGTAATGGGTTTTTTTCCCAGGGCAACTTAGTGCTGAGTTTTTGAAATGCATTTGGTGAAAAATCTGCATTGACCACTTGATAATACCTTTTGCCTTCATATGCCTATGCTGAAAACCTGCAAAGATTTTAAATTATGTAGCTGTGACCTCCCATCAAACAACATATATAT